TTAAACTCAGCAGAGCTCCTTGTGTTTATAGGACCCGGAGAAACTCCTGCAATGCCTCTGCAAGTTCAAAACCCCCACGGAGGCTCCTGGCTTATTTATAAGCTCTGCTCTTAGCCAGTAACACAGATGTATACTAAGTATCCTCTGGTCTACTGCTTTTCCAAAAAGGGAAGTGACCCTTAAATGACATATTTAGCTAATTAAGGCCCGAATTGTCAGACATTTATTGCTTTAACTTCAATTTAGGAATGCAAAAATATAGCCAGATTGCAAAGTAACGTTCCCATACACACACACTCTCTTTATGCACCTTCCATCGACCTGCATGTTCTTGGTGCCTCTGTGGAGGTGTGTGCAGCGAAAATCTTTATCATCTGGTTTGAAAACAAGCCTGCAGAGGAACATCTCCTGCAGATGCGTTCCTTTTCTTTTTTACTGTCCAGCACTTTATGACTCTCACTTCCTGATCCCTCCCACTCATACATACACTCTTATGGTAACGCTCATAGAAGAAGGGCATTTGCATGTACAGAGAAAAGCAGGCACTTTGGTTCGTGTTTATAAATGTTGGTCAGAAGCCTAGATGAAGGAAGAGCTGATCATAAAAAAGCACATTGATTAAGGCGTACACCGATGAATAGTTATGCCATTTGCATTCCTCTCCTGTCCACTGCTCTGCTCATCAGGCAGCTCTTCATATAAGCATTTAGTCGCTGTTATTTAAAGGGACACAGCACTGGTTAAATGCAACAGGCACTCCAATTTATTTGCATGATGTTGAATGAGTATTTTGTTTTTTGTATGTTTTCCCCCTACCTTATTAACTGTAATCCCCAGCGGTGTGTCCGACCAGCATCCTGTATATTAGCCTGTGTTGTATTCTGCAACTTCCTTATGTTAAACTAACATGAGGTGTCTTATGATTAAGGGTTATATCTGCCCATGCAAAAATTTCCATTTATTCCCTTCATCCACCTCACAACTGCAATTATCCTTTGTTACCCTCTAAGGAAATGTGTGCTAACTTTTATATTTTAATTAAAAAAAGTAAGTGAAGCAGCTGCACTCATGAGGAAACAAACACCCCACTGTCCACTAACACATGACTTGTTTTTTTTAAAGGATGAGCTTTGTGCATGCTGCTCTCCATATATTTTATTAGCTGTGTTTGGGTCACATATTTCACTCTGTCTCAGCAAAAGGGTCCCATTGATGCTTTAAAGGCTGTTTTCTGCCCTTAATATTGGGGCCAAAGTATATTTTACATCCATTTTTAATATACATTATTTGATACATAAGCAAAACTGGGCAATGTAGAATGCACTCCAAATACAGCTGTTTTATTTTGAAATAATTTCATAATAACAATAAAATAATGGTTTTGCTGTCCTGATGCTTAAACAAGCATTGCACACATTTTAAGGTTAAAAATCACCCGCTTGGCGCTTAAAAACTTTTTATAAACAAAGTTCAGTTGGAAAAAAAATTTACATGTAGGAAATTTCTTTTCTTAATCACAGTTTGTGCAGTTTGATGGTTGATGGAAACGTAGCTACTGTCAGACTAACATGTGCTGTAGTTTCTGCTTCACCAATAACAGACCTTAAACATTCTAGCACTTGTTCTGCAAACTAATTAACACAATAATGCTATAAACAGTGGGCACATTGCAAAGAGCTGCCTGGACTGTGGTACATTTTAGGTTATTTGGCTACCACACCTTTAGGCTGTCTGCATGTTTTTAAATAAAAAAAAAGAAATTGTGGTAAGGTGGTGAAGTTACTGTGAAACTTATTTGCCCAATCCCAATATTCATCAATATTATTGCATAGTGCATGTTCTCTTAACATCACAAGCTACACAGATAAATGAACATCTGATCAGAATTAAAATGTCATAAAACCTGAACGAAAATCTATTAAATTGAGGCTTGAAAATAATAGATTCTTAAAGTGAAAGTTTTTTTTCAGTACAAAAAGAGTCATAGAACTTTATGAGAATCCAGTTGGATAAAAAGTTTTTTTTTTGTTTGCTTTTTTTTTTCATTTGCTTACTACCGGTACTCTTTTTTTTTTTCCCTCTCAGCAGCCAAAGTCAGATGAAGGTTGTAGACTTGGAAGTCTTCCCTCATTGGCTATCTGAACTTTAAATAGTCTCCAGCCAATAACATGAAGAATCTAAAGTGGGAAATTCTCCTTCCACCACAGCTATTGGCCCTAAATCTCCCGGGAATATGCTGTTGAGTTAAATTGCATAAAAGTCCCCCCTGTAAAAGGCTAAAAGACCACCCTCAAGGGAATCATCTTTTACTCCTTGCAGATCTTGGCTATTTAAAATTGCAGATAACTTTTACCTTTTATGTGAACCATAGGGACCTTTATAAAGCGTTGTACAGATATTAGGTTGTCAAGTATTGATGTTGGGAGTTTTGACTCTTTTGAAGAGCTGGTAGAATCTATTCACAGTGGTTTTAGGAGCTACAATGATGGATTTTAACTAGTTTCCCTCAGGCTCTGATGTCACATGTGTGTTTGCCTTCAGTTGACGCATTTCTTTCACAATTTTAGAATTGCTGCCTCTATTCGTAGCTCATATGACTATCATTTATTTTTTGTATTGAATGTTTGTCTTGGTTTATACATGGTAGGATCTTCAGACCACGTCAGAGTTGTAGTGGGTGTTGTTGGTCATCCTCTGATGGGATATAATTGTGTAGGAGGAGGTAAGACAGGAAAAGGCCTTGATATTTCTTGGGGAACATAAAGTAGGTATTGCAGGTGAAAGGTGACCTAGAGAAGTTTGATGGAAACAGTGCAAGAGTTTTTTATTTGAAAGAGTGGATCTTATTTTGTGTGAGTAAAGGGGGCTGCACACAAACGCTCATCACACTTTGGATTTTTGTTGTATCGAATGTTAACAACCATGTTGCAATTTCCCTCCAATTCCCAACTAAACAATACTTTATTGCTCTAACATATGAAATCTCGGTGACATGCTGTGACATTTGTGGTTTGAACATGACAAAAGGGAAAAGGTTCACAGCTACAAATGGCAACATTGCTAAGCGAGAGCCCCTATGTTCCTACTGAAGCCTGAAGCAGGCTTAAAAGAGAGTGAGAATGTCGGGAAAACGCAGAAGAAAGCTTTATTGACGTGTGCTGAGCTGCGGGCAATTTAGGTAGATCATTCGGGAGAGAGTGTGCGGAGGAGGGAGGTGTTATCTTTTCTCCTGTGTGGATCAATCAGATGATGTAGTGATAAGTCTGTGGATTACACTGCTATTTACACACTCCCCAAGTGTAAGTGTATGTGTGTACTGGCTCTGAATAACTCACTGACGGCCATTTGGTTTCAGTGCTGGTCTTCTTTCTGCTCGATATGCTTCCAGTCGGTAGGAGTATATCTATAAAGCAGCGTATGAAATGAATATTCAGGATCATTTGTATTAGACTTGTTGAGATGCACCTTGTTATTCTGTTATCAATAATAATTTGCAGAACATATAGTAAATCTACGAGTGAAGATTTCCTCCACAATAAGAAACTCAATATTGCTGTTGTTAGTTGGATTAAATCCCAACTTAAATGCTAAGCGTTCTAATAATAACCTCATTCCAGAAAAAAAAAAAATTACAAAAGTTCAAAATGTGTTTTTTTAACAAGTCATTTATCATCAAACAAAAGAATTGATTCTTTTTGGTACTTGAACCCTTTTAATGCATTATGGGGGCTGAGTGAGAGTGTGTGGTGACTGGTTAAGGGATCATATGGGTCAATGAACTGCCTTGGGTGATGTGCCCCTCGTGATTTTGGAATGCTCCCGATATTGTCACATGGTCACGGTGTCACCACCATGACTGAACACTGCAGAGGAAAAAAGGTTTTGCATGGTGGGATGGAGCTGGTGAGAATGCAATGTCTGTATGAATGGCTCTTTATTTGAATAACCTATTTACTGTGTTTGGCAAAGGAATCAAAGGCATTAACGTTAGATAAGAGAGCGATGGGTTTCAGTGAAATCCCCACTGGGTGATGGAAATGAGCTCCATGTGGACTGTTTTGAGAGGGAATCCAGGGGTGCTTATGATGAAGTGCTCTATGTCCTGGGGGTCTGAGGGGTCTTTTTATGGTGTCTTATCCTTGTTCTCAGTAGAGATTCAAAATATTAAATAGATTTAGTTTGTTTTGAAGTGTGTTTTTTGTTTTTGAAGTACTGAGGAGATATAGGTATTTTACCTGCAGAAGCGATCAGTCAGCATGCTTTAAGTTCAAGGAAGCAGAGAAAAGACTTGACATGAGAAAAAAGGAACAGTAATCGGTGCTCAGTGAGGGGTAACAAGTAGAGCGCATTCCCTTCATTTAACAACTCAAAGCTTCATCGTCAGCAAATGTTGTTCTTTCACATTAAATTTGCACTAGAAAAATAATGGACTGTATCAGAGCATCCCAGAAATGTTTTTAATTAGTTTTGGATAAGGTTTTAATCCGTCACTGCCAGTTTCTCTGTTCGAAACATAGAAATATATAAGAACGACATCAGAAATGTTTTCTTCTAATTATCCTGAACTTAGATGAAGTCACTCCACAGTATGATGTATAGTATAGTCAGTTTGTTTGTATAGATTGTGATTAGCAACCCAATTCAGCAATTGGCATTGTAAGTGCAGCTAGCATGGATGTTGTTCCTACAAAAACAGTTTTTGTTCATGTATTCCACATATTCAGTATCTTGAAATCCAGCACGACAAATGAGTGGGATGCTCCAATAGAAACCTACATCTTAGCCTTACTGTTGTCCACTGAAAATCTTGCTCTCTCTCACTTTCTTGGTGCCTGAATCAACCACAGATACGTTTCAACATGTTCTAGTGATTTTTTTTTTGTGCTTTATTGTGTAATTTTCTGTCCTTTTCCTGGAAATCTTTTTTTTTCATAACATTTTGCGGCTATCTAAAAAAAAACCTTTTGCCTTATTGTTGCTGTTTTCTCTTCACCCTGCAGCCTCTACAGATAGACGATAACTTCTGTGGTCAGGACTTCAACCAACCTCTTGGAGGAATCAGCACCATCGAGGGCACCCCTCTCTTCATAGACAAGGATGACGGCATGACTTCTGTGGCTGCCTATGACTACCATGGCAACACAGTGGCGTTTGTTGGTACCCGCAATGGAAAACTAAAGAAGGTAGGACTGATTACGTAGATTCTTATTTTAGTGCTCCGATTTCTACAAAATAAAAGATATTTGGCTTTGTTCTTGTAATTTATTTTGATCTTTATCTTTTATCTCAGCAGTTATGACAGTAAACAGTGAAGGTACTTTATAAATCAAGCAGCTATTTGCTAATCTAAATCATGAGAGGGTACGGTTTCTATTAAATCATTTAAATCAGAGTCTGTTTAGTAGTATTTAGTTACTTATGTCTTGGTTTGACGTCAACAAAAAAGTAACTGATGACAAATTTGTCAACTGTTTAGACAAATATCAGCTATAGTCCTGGATATGTCAGCCCTTCTATAGCTGGATTATTTAACATAAAAGTAAAAACAGTGGAATAAAATACAGTGGACATACTGTAGAGTAATGGCCAGTTGGAATTATAAATTCTAATGTTTATAAGCATCTACAAAGACTTTGGTTTCCTTGTAGATATCCCAACATGGATATCTAACTCAGCCCACCTAATTCTAATTGCCCAGACATCAGTAGGCTATCAGGTTTCAGCTTAATACAATATCATTGGAAAAATGACAAAAATATATATATATATATATTTCAAAACCGTTTAAAGGTTCAATCCCACAGATTTTAAAGGGTCAAAATGCTTTTCCTTCATCAAAATTTGGTATTTTGTAAAAGTTTAAAAAGAATTGTTTGGAAAGTATCGACGTGAAAACACTGCGCCTCTCAGGAAGCGCCTACCATAGCAGCGCTGTCCTGTACTGTATTCTTTCTCCCATCAGGGAAGGCTTATCTAAGGCAGAGTTTGATGTTTCGGTTCAAATTTGAGACCTTTTAGCAGCTAATCTGCAAAAAATGCTCATTTAATGTCCTAAACTTAGGACAGAAGCTCATTTCCAAGTTGTAAAAATACATTTTTTTGGCCTCTGGTCTCAGACTTTGTGGGGTTCTACAGCACCCAGACAGGAGAGGCGGGTTTGCTTTAAAGGCAAGCAATTTTTATTTGGGCTTAAAAGAAAAATGTATTTCCAACAAATCAATACCCACATAGTTCTAAAGGCATTATTTAAGCACATATGTGCCAACAGGTGACCTTGAAAGGCTTAAAGAAGCATAATATAAAACCTTTTAGTCTCGGTGTTGAGCTTTGGCTCCACTGTTCAGCCCACCAGCTTCCTCCATTTCTGTTCATAGAGGATCCATTCATGTGAATCAGAACAAAAAACATAAAATTTAGTTCTGCGCCTTTTTAGAAAACAAAAACATGTGTCAAGTAAACTTCATGGTATCAGTCGTGATTAAAAACTATGCTTGTCCTCATTTTTCTTCTTTTACATCACAACCTCTTGTGTTACCTACGGAAGAGGATTAGGGCCACTGGAAAAAAAAAAAAAGTTAACTGATTTTTTTTTATTTTATTTCAGTATAGTATGGGAAAAAAGTCAGAATTCTGACTTTAATCTCAGAATTCTGACTTTATTCTCAGAATTCTGACTTTTTTCTCAGAATTCTGACTTTATTCTCAGAATTCTGACTTTTTTCTCAGAATTCTGACTGAATTCTGACAATAAAAAAAGTCAGAATTCTGAGATTAAAGTCAGAATTCTAAGATTAAAGTCAGAATTCTGAGATTAAAGTCAGAATTCTGAGAAAAAAGTCAGAATTCTGAGATTAAAGTCAGAATTCTGACGTTTTTCCCATACTAAACTGAAATTTATTTTTAAAAATCAGTTAACTTTTTTTTTTCAGTGGCCCTAATCCTCTTCCGTAGTTACCAAAAGGTTTTTGTGATGGAAATACATGATAATACACAAATAATAATGATTTTGTTGTATTATCATGTGCAAAATGAATAGGAGTAAATATTAAATTGCACATGTTTTAATAGTGACTACATTTAAAAGTTAGTTGAAAAGCAGTAAGTTCATCATGAAAAATTGTGTTTTTTTTGTATGTTACTATATACCCCTTATTTCTAGGCTCATATATAGTCATCATACTGTCATCATTTGCTTTGAACTTGGATACAGTCGTTTTTATCTGGGCATTTAAGGCGAGGGGTTGTAAAGATTTTACATTAAGGCTTTTGCTATATTATTCCAATATATAAAAGTACTGCAGTGTCAGTTATTGTGTGTGTTCTCTGCTTAGATGCTAAGAGCTCACATAAATGCATAAAGCATCTTTGCACCAGTTGTCTTTCAAGGGTTTATTATACCAACAACAGACACAAATTTCTTCCAGCTGTGAAACAACTTTGCCCCCCTTTTCTTTGTAGTGAATGGATGATTATGACAACTGTACGTATTAACTGCAAGTTTTGTTTTTGTGATTGTACGGTAGATAGACATGCACTCTGACACGGTTATTATTCCCTTTGTATAATTTGAATGTCTGAGACTTTCTGTGTGTTCAGTTTATAAAGAAAAGGACTCTCATGTAAATGGCTGCTCATTGGAATTCAGCCCATTTCCCTCCTCGCTGCTCAAGACCTGTCATCCATTCAAAATTATGAATGTATAATCAGGCCGTGTGTTTGTGTGCCTTTTAATGCCTGTTTGCGTATGCATGGGGCATTTTGTGTGTTTGTCACTCACCGTTTGTGCGATAAGGCGTTCCCCTGTGATGGCGTGGGGTTTTATGTGCATGTCTGTGTTTATGTTTATGAGGAAGAAGACAAACATTACAAGTTGACTAAGATTCAGTGCTTTGCATTTGTCGGCGTGACGCCCATTCACTTAGCTTGGCAAAAAACGCTTTATTTTCTCAGCTGTTCTCACGTGTTCATTTTTTTTTCTTCCCCTCTGCAACATTATGCGCTTTGGTTCAGGTAAATTTGTGTGGGGAACCTCACTTGGGAAGTGGGTTGTCATGTGTTTCTGCATTAACAATAAAGACTTGCAGTTCTGTTAGTTGCATCTTAAAGCACAGCGAAAAAAATTATAAATTAGATAAAATATTCATAAAAAGGACCAGTATACCAAACCCTAAGTACACACATACTCACACTATGCAACTCTCCTTAGCCGTGGAGTCATAAAATGCAAGGCTGAATTAATGGGTTTTTAGTTGCACATTTGGAGAGGAAAAAAAAAAAGATGGAAGTATTAATTTAAGAGCCGAGGTAAAAACAACCCTTGTGTGAAAAATGGATTCTTACTTATAAGGATCCTAGAGCATCTTTTCTTTCTTTTTTTTTTTTTTTTTAAATAACCCTTCAAGTACACTCCTTCATTTTCCCTTCAAAGCATCTTCTGATTTGTCATTTGGGTGGACTGGAGAGCTTTGATAACTTGTGTCATCGCCTTTCAGTCTATTTTTAATTAACAATGATGTTCAAGGTTGTCCAGAGCAACAAAGCAGTGGCATAAACAACACGTTTAAAGCGAGCACTAATGAAGTCCCTTTGTGCTCTGCTTGACACGCTCGCTCTCAGGGACGTTCACATGGGAAGCATCTACTAATGACTCAGAGTTTGATAGAAGAGATGTAGAAACAGGAAGGAAGATAGAACGGTAAGATGGATGAAGACGGTGATAAAAGATGGAGGTGATAAGGAAAAGATGTGATGTTCACTACTTCTAGAGGTCATCTGAACGCTGCTATAGTCAGATACATCATGCTTTGTAAAAAGGTTTTCACATTTCCTGAGTTTTTTAACACGATAACCTAAAAAACTCAATGTGCTGCATCACACAGCAGGGCATCTGGATTCTGGAGGTGTCGCCGGGTCAAAATTCAGAACCCTGCGATGCTACCCTGGTGCAGCCTGCTGCTCCCATTGCCTTAGGGATGAACTAAATGCAGCAGACAAATTTAGTAAATAGAGTCCGACTGTGTGTAATTTAGCCTTGGTATAAATACAGCTCTGCTGTTAAAAGGAAGCTGAACATCATTAGGGAACAAGCAGTAATATAAAGACTAAAGAACACAGCAGGCAGATCAGGCAGAAGGTAGTGAAGACATTTAAACATAGGTTAGGTGATAAAACAGCATCCAGAGCTTAGGAATCTAACAGAGAGCTGTTTATGGTGTTTATCCACCATTATTAGATCAAAAGAGGATAGCACAGCTACAGCACTACCAAACTAAAACCCTAACAGAAATATGTACCAAGCAGGATATTAGTCACAGAACTAGCCAATAGAATCCTAGAAGTTATGATGCTAATGGCTACTGGCTGCTGCAGAGATCCACGGCTTATGTGGGAAATTCTGTTGACGGGAAAATGAATTGCTGTAGTTCAATGTGCAGTTTGCCATTTGTTGTGTTGGAGACACAACTAGCATGAGGGAGAGTTTGGTATAGATAAACACTTTAGGATTTTATATCAGACATCAATCAGACAGTTGAGTCTTCTTTTCCCCACTTATCTTGATATGTTTAAGAAGTTTCAATGGTTTGTACAGTGTGGAAATTCTTGATTCTGATTGGTTAGTGCCTGTCTCTCATTCTCCAATCTTTCTTTGGTTTATGAGCTCAGTATTCAGTTGTTTGCTCTGTCTGACCATTCTTAAACTAAAACAATCTGTGTAAATGGTAGCTTCTGCATGGTAATAAAAGGGCATTGACCATGACAGAGACACACTTGCACACATATGCAGACTCCCTATGGGTGGTCTGAGGGGTAAAGGGAAAAAAAGAGCCTTCAAGTCAATAATCCAATACCTAATTGTGTTTTTTTTTTTTTTGTGGATGCTGTGCACACATTTGCACACAGACAGGACTTAGGATTCCTCAGCTGCGCGCTCCATCAGGGGGCAATGTTAGCCATCTGTTATATGTGTGCAGCCTTTGTGCCAGGTGGTCGAGGCCCCATGTGCCCACAGGGTGTCTGTTGTGGCTGTGCCAGGCTCAGGTGGCGCGGAGCGAATATTCTGCCTGATGCCCATTCAACAGTAGATTAGTGAGGAGAAACTCCAGCCTCCAATTACACACACTGTCAGCATCTAAGACTAGTTTTACTGGCAGAGAACAAAAAAACTGGTTCAGTTTGGTTCAAG